ATTTTTAATCGATTTTTTGATTATTTTTTTTTACATGGGTATCATCTCTAGAGATTTTGATCGATACATTTTCAATTTGTTTTTTAATATATCATTCTTGTTCTTCAATTAGAAATACATGAAGTTTATAGTAATCAATTTAGGAGAATGTTTGTCTAAAATTAATTGACGATAATTCCAATCAAGCAGAGAAACTCTACAATGTTTGATAAGGTATAAGGCTTTTTAATAGTTGGCGTATAGTAAATCGGCCGGAAAGTTTTCCTCTTTTTATGAAACTTTCAAATATACTGAAGACTTTGTTTTAGACTCATTTGATAGAGAATGTATTGCTTTGCAAAACCATACATGTATTGCATGTTTTCATGGAATATTTAATAATCTGTCAAAAAAAGTTGACACTACAAATCGAATGATTTTTCGAAAGCTATACAGTTGTAGAGTAAACGTTTCTCTCTCCATCTACATGCAGCAGATATGTATATATATATATATATGTTTTGTTATTAAATTAAAATGAAGACTCTACGAAAAACATGAATAAAATCAAATCCAATCGCGAGTACTTGCTATGCTTTCATCAAGAGTTTTTATAAAATCACTGTAGCAACTTAACAATAGGTAACATGAAACTTTGTTGTATGCCAATTTGTAGAGAAATGCCCACTCTAAAACTCATTCGATCGATGATCCAAGCTTCTTTTCACGAATCATTACATATTTGATCAAAATATGCAATACATGCATGATTGTAGAGAACTATTTTGTATGACTTCTCTTTCGATGATTGTTTATGGATGATTAAGAGTATAACAATATAAAATATATATAATTTCTTAGAGCAAAAGATTTTCTCTCTAAAGAGTCTGAAATAGAATCTTCAGTGCATTAGAATATGGTTTAAAAAGAGAAAAACATTTCGAATCATTTATTATGTACTATCCGTTACTTATCAGTACAGTTTAATAAAAATTTATTGACTACTATATGACTTGAATACATTGCTAGTTATAAAAAAAGGTCGTTGCGAAAAATAAGGTCGTCTGGAATAATTGTGATTAAATGAATTTCATTTAAATGTCAAGCATATTTTTAATTATTGACGTCAGAGCACTGCGTGGAATGGGATAGCATGGAACAAAAAAAAAAAGGCTAGTATTTATTTGAGCAATAAAAAATACTGGAATGGGCAATAATTAAAATACGATTTAGCAATAATTTTTGATTAATAACAAAACTTTATTTGAGTAATTTTATATTATTAAATGCACAATAATTGATTCATTAAGTAGCAGTAGTAATTTCATATTTTAACAATAAAACAAAGAAAAAGCACCTTATTTTATATGAATTAGAGAAACAAAAATGTTATTTACAATTGAAAAAACAGTATATTATTGTGTGAATAAAGCTTTATTTTTTGCTTTAGATGATCTGCCTCTTTTTCTTTTTATGTTTTATTTTGTAAAATTGAAAAAATACGTATTTGTATATATAAATGAACTAATATTGCCCTTTATTAACGGATGATTGATGTAAGAGATCAATACTGAACTACTACTTTATTACAGGCAGGGAATATACCTGAATAACATCAAGAGAGAGAAATATTTAAGTAATGGAAAGGAAAGAAGAGAGAAAGAAAACAAAAGATATATGTGTATATCGGAGTTGATTTTAAAATTTGGTCTTCTTTAAAAGGCGACTAGTTGACTTTAAAATATTTTAAAATCAATTAGTTGACTTCAAAATAAATTTTAAAGTCAACTCCGACATATAAGTGTCGTACTTATTATCTGTACGGCATCGTACAAGAGAAGAAAGGAGAAAAAAGATATATGAGCGAGTCACACTATAACCACCCTTTTTATATAAAATCTATCTTATATAAAATTTACCTTTAATTTAAACAAATTATTTCTCATTTAGTATAACTATTGCTCATTCTATATAATTGTTGCTCAATTTCATTACTGCTCATTCAATTTTTTTTATTGCTATATTTCATTGCTCAATTAAATATAAATCAAAAAACAATGATCGTAAGAGGTAAATTGCTATGATTTGTTCCATAGGATGGGATACTTTTAAAAATCTCACGTGGTGTCCCGTCTCATGGACCATCATATTCGTCAAATGGTTTTCAAAAAAAATGAAATTTATTAATATATTTATCCATTTGATTATTTGTACAAAATATTATACCGTTCAGAGCAATTTAAAAGTAGTGGAGAAAGTATTTTATTTCTATATAGAAAGCTTGAAGAAATCTTCTCTTTATATGTAGTAAGAATAAAACACAATGTTCTATTTTTCTGTGATACTTGATTATACTTCAACTCATATCATAATAATCAAATTTTGATAAGAGCTGTTTGTTATGATATGTGACGATAAAATTAGATCATATTGTCTTCGATGCGTATCTTCCTCTTGTCCTTCTCTTTGTTGGTGTTGGTATTCTCTTTTCTCACACCGATATCACATATTCGCAGTCATACTTGAATCAAATTGATTAAATTGACATTCAAGAATAGACGACAATGAATCTTCAAAAAACCTTTTATTAGTTATCACTAAAATCTAAATGAATTCACTCCTTCTAACTATTACAATAGAAAACATTTATAGAATAGAATTTTATTCCATTTTTTGTTAACTTCACTGAAATAGACAAGAATGCCGTTCGCATGAAAAAAAAAAGTTATATCTTTCCTTATAAAAAAAAAATGTTTATATAAGTAGCTGTATCTCTCATGAACGGATGGAACATGAATCTTTTGATAAACGTCTCATAACATGGGATAAGACAGAAATTTTGAAAAATTATCCCATCCTACACAGCATTTATTAAAAGATTTACGTCTCATTCCACACGGAATCCTAATTGACATAATATAAGACATGAATATGACCTTTTTTTATTTTTCAATTGATTTATCCTTACCTTTGCCATCAATCGATGCATGCTTCCATACTATTATTTGAGAAAAAAGAGAAATAATCATCTTAGAAAATAATGAATTTCGGTACAGTTACGATTTTCAACATCAATGCGTTGAATGCATTTACTTCCATATTAACCATTATTAAATACTTTTTCTTTTTACATTTACTACGACAAGAAACTAATAAAAATCATTTCAATACGGAACTTTGTCTTCATGATCTTCAATAAGAACAAAGTTTGTCATATTCATGTAATTTCCTTTTCATGCCTTATAAGTGATATATATATATATATATATATTTAAATGGAAAGTGAGATTCTTATATTAAGATATATAAAAATGATGAAAACACATATTATATAATTATGTTCTTTTTGTTTCAGATCTACTAACTATGTTGTCATCAACAATGTCTTTTCTTATCTTTGCATCTTTGATGATGATATCTTATGGTCGACCATCAAATAGTCCAGAACAACTCATGTCTATGATTTTTTCACCTGGTAATACGGATGGTAACAGTGTCATAGCTCCATCAAATAGTCCAAATCGATTAATACATGTTATTGAAAATATTATTAGGTGAGTTTGGTTTTTATTTTTTGTTGAATATTAGAATATTTATTTATATAAAAATTAGATATGTTTCATCAATAAAATCAAGTGAAAATTTTATTGAAAATGTTGTCAATCGTCACAAAGAACCAGCTGACAGAATGAAAGTTCTTACATTTTTAAATAAATGTTTTGAACTTATTCGTAATGTTATTCAACGTGAAATTAATTATATGTTAGAAATGTCTGAAATACAAAACAAATCTTCACATTCACAATCACCATTTACATTAGAAGAATTAAAACAAGCTCAAAGAAAAACGGATGATCTATTAGCTAGTATTGAAAAGCAAATGGAGTCATTGAAAACTTGGATACCACCAACAATGCCTTTTCTTGGCTTTTTCTAACACATCTTTTCTTTAAATTCATGTACTATTATTGGCAAGCATATTTTAAAACAAAATATTAATAAAATATATCTTAATAAAAAGATTTTTCATTCCAACTTTCAGTTTTTAAATGAATCTAGAAATTGATTGATTCTTCATCTAGGATTTAGCAAACAAATAATTCGACAAGAGTAACGAAATTATTGATACATTATCAAAGAATTTGATTATTAGTTAAGGCCAATCACCTCAAAATCGTTTCTGAGTCAGAAACATACAAATCCGATGAAATGTTCAGAATATATTGAAGCTATTGCGGACAAGTCATGTTGGTATTTTTAGCTCGATACCATGATGTTTCATGAAATATTTATCAAACACAACTAATTTGCCACAGTTTTGAATTCTTCAAGAACTTTCATTCTATATATATTTTATTTTTCTTTGGTTTGAAAGAGCATGTCAGGTTACAAGATCGAATAGAGCCTATGTTTTTTTTAAATCCTTACGTTTTTTCTGAAAAAATAGTATAAATTAAAAAAAAAAAGATACTGTCAGGCTAAACTTTAATGAAATCAAAAAATATTCCGAGCTCAAAATAAATAATCATAGACTTTCAATAAAAAAAAAGAAATCTATACAATTAAATAGCGTAACTCAGATAGAATGGGCTAGATTTCAATTTGCTATTTATTGAAATATTTTACTAAAATAGAATCTTAATTATTATTAATACAGAATGTTTTTTGAAAAACAAAATGTAGCCGATAAAAATAGTTTATTATTGCAAGCCTTGAAGTGGCATTAATTTCCTGACTTTTTAGAAATATCATAGTTTTTCTGCTTTTAGCTGAAAAATCTCAATTTATCTTCATATTTCATGATCTGTTGCCATAGAACTTTGTCTTCACGATTATAATACATTCTATATTATTTTTAATCTATTTTCAAGGTTTTAATTGAAATAGTTGAAGAATATTTTTCACCAAGAAAGAAAGATATAATGTTCATTTTATATCTGTTTCAGCTATTTATTTATTTTTTTTGTTTTGTTTCATAATCGATTTTCAGTAGTTCTCATCATTTTCAATTTATTGATATTTGACAGTAGTTAGTTTTACATTGGTAATTGTTATTATTGTCAAATGGACCATAAAGAAAAGTACTTCTCGCTTTTTGTTGATATCTAATGTTTTTATCATATTGAACCAAATTTATTCAATCATTGTGAAATTCTGTATAAATTTATTTGTATTGTTTAATGAATGTTGCTTGTTTCATTTTTAAAACTCAACATAACTTTAGCAAACTATGGAGTTAAACTTTAAAAAAATTTTTTATAATTTCAATTTTATTTCTATATACCTCGTTAAGTTTTAAGGTCTCTCCTTATACAATTCTTCATTCATGGTTTGAAGCATGTTGTCATTTGTTAAACCAATTGCTACGACCTAAGCTGTAATGATGGAAAACTTAAAAGGATTTTCGCATATATAATGTTCAAAGAGTTATATCCAAGGAGAAAAAAGCGACACTTCAGTACTCCGGAGTTTGATTAATTTGATTGTGATGTGTGATGGCTTGAGACTACTCTGTTTTCCCGTTTCTATCATGATATTACTATATCGTTTCTATGACCTTTATTACTATTTATCTGGTTATTATTATTATTTATGTATTTTTCAATTATCTCTCTTCCTTTTCGTCTCATTGTATTGCCCTTATCGTTCTCCTATATTAAATATTATAAAAAAGAAAGAAATCTGTTATTAGTGGTGTCTCTATAGGACCTAGGAGCGTCATAGGGTAATAAACACATACAAGCAGTATTACTAATATTATGATTGAACTTGACAATGAAACGAACAGACTAGAAACAAGATGGAGGATAAATGACCGAAGTGAATATGAGATCTCACTTTTCGAAATGATAGCTTTCTTCTATTACAGTTACGATATATTGTATGCTATCGAAAAGTATTTCTAGGACTTTCAATATATTTAATAAATCTCAAAAAATGTTTTCTTACAGTCTTTCAAATGATGATTATTCAACTTCTAAAAACACTTTCTTACATTTGTAATATAAATCATTCAAATAATTCAATCATTTATTTTATCTAAATATAAATTAAATTTTACATTTTAAAACATCGATCATCTATGAACGCATTCTTAATATAACTATTTATCGTACAAGAAAAACATTTTTTCGAATACAAAATATGCAATTTTTTTTCGCCTGAATATTTTCTACAATGAAAATGTTAAGATGATTTCCTAAATGATTCAAACGTATATTATTTTAATTTCTCATATCAATAGACAAGAAGTTTCAACTCTATATTTCTGTTAATAAAAGAATGCTTTATAGAGGTTTTTCTGATATACAGCACAAACAAGTCGTCGAAAATATATAACTTTTCAAATAAGTCTTTTCATAAAATTTTATGCTTACTGTTTTTAATTGTTCAAATGAGATTATTTTTATCTTTAACTTGTTTGTATTCATTACGGAAAAGTTTTCATTCTAAATTAATAGTATAACTAATTAATTCGTGTATAAATTGTTCGAAGATCAATGATCCTTATCAATACAAAACAGTAAACTATCATGAAACAATCATTGAGTTAAATGATGATTTTTGACTTCGTATCATATTACTAAGACTTTTGTTTTATCATAGCAATCTCCACTGGCATAGATCTTAAGAATAAAGTTCTTAGCAATGACTGAATATTGGAACATAATGGTAAAAAATTACATACTATCATTCGACTTCATAGTGATACCATGACTGTTACCTATCTTGTATAGATAATAGAAATACACAATTTTGTAAAGAATTAAAGGCTGAATTTATTTCTATATAAAATTTTCATTTGAAATGACGAGAATAGGTTGACATATTGAAAACATACTAGAACCGTTATTTAATCCTTCATATTCATCAAGAGAGGTTCTCCAGAAGATCGAACAAAGTTACGTAGGACTGCTCGCCGCTATGTAATTTTTTGGGTTTTTTTAGCTCATATGAGAGAACCTATCGTGAAACTGATGAATCCAAAATATTACATTTTTCTGACGTATTTGTAGAGAATGCTAAAGATCAGAATCCTCTAATTTTTGTGGTTAGAGCATAACAATTAAAAAAATTATTTTTTTCTATATTTTAATGTTTTTTTGAGATTTTTTTTTGTCCCTGATCGTCCCTTTGAGTTAGGCAAAGTCTCGAAGGATGTAGAGAAGAATTTTCTACAAAATGAACTATATCAGTGGTCATCATAATAAGTTTTAGTTATCGATCATGCCTTCACAAGAAAAAGGAGATCTATGCTTGATGGTAATGCTTTTGCCAATAATTTGCCTTTAATTTCGTCGAGTCATGGAGTCCCAAAACAAAATCAATCTAATTTTTGAAAGCCCTTGAAATACTGCGTCTTTTGATATATGACCCAACGTACAAAAAGATGTGCATGGAGTTTTAGTAGGAACCACAATAAGTGCACTTTGATAGTCCTCAATGACCAGTTTGATTGACCATTGGTCACTGTATAGATTAGGTTTATTTCAAATAAAAACATGACTCTAGATTTATGATCAGCATCAAAAACTGAGTATAAAAATGCTACTTGATTGAATGTACGTTTGATAAAACTGAAAAACTACAATTGAATACTAGTGACCTAAATTTATCTCGGAGTATATATTGACAGTAGTCATCTTGGTAAACTTATCTAGATTTTTTATAAGAAGTGATCAGATGAAGTATCTTATCTCATTTCGAATCATCAGATCCCAAGCTATAAAAGTACTTTTTAAATTTTCTTAGATATTGTTTTTATTTTGAGAAAATCGAACTTTGCCCTGCACCAGTGGCAAAACCATATAAACTATTAAAACTGTGTTCGTTTTTAATAATTTTTATTATTATAGTTCATTTTTAGAGCAAAATAAATAACATATTCAAGACCAGGGCAAAAAAACTACATCAGATCAAATATATTTTAGTAAAATATGTTTTTTATAAAAAAACTTATCCTGAGGAGTACCACGGCCAAATTTTTCGTAAAAAAAAATGCTGAAGAATGGTACAGGCGAGTTTCTCGTAAAAAACAAATTTTGCGAAAATATATTTGATCCGATGTAGATTTTTGCGTTGATTTCAAATATGTTGTTTATTTAGCTCTAACATTAAACTATGCTATGACAAACTGCTAAATAGAAATACCATTTTAACCGCTTTGTATGGTTTTGCCACTTAGAATAACAACTGTGGTCTCTTCTAAAATCCTGTGCACATCTTTTTGTACTTTGAGTCATATATCAAAAGATACAGAATTTCAAGAGCTTTCAAAAACTAGATTCTTTTTTTTTGAACTCCATAATTCGATGAAGTTAGAGACAAACTACTAGCAAAAGGATGACCGTCAAACATAGACTCCTTCCCTTTCCTTGTGGAGGCACGATCGATTACTATAACTTATTACAATGACCACTAATATAGACCATTTTGTCGAAAATTCTTCTCTGCACCTTTTGAGATCTTCACTAACTCAAAGGGACGATCAGAGACAAAAACATCTCGAACCATAAGAATGTGAAAAAAGCCTTTTTTTTTAATCTTTACGATCTAACCATAAAAATTAAAGGATTGTG